AGCCTAGGCAGTTAGGATGCTCACCTTAGGAGACTTGGATGGAGGTGGGTGGTCCTTGGACTTCCCACAGGGCAGAGAACCCTGATTGCTCTTTGGGCTGACAAGTGAGGGGGACTTGATTGGGGGAGGGGGAGGGAAAGGGGAGGCAGCAATGGGGAAGAGACAGAAATCTTTAATAAATTAAAAAAATCAAAAAAAAAAGGAAAAATGTAAGCAAGCCAGGCGGTGGTAGCACACGCCTTTAATCCCAGCACTCAGGAGGCAGAGGCAGGCAGATCTCTGAGTTCGAGGCCAGCCTGGTCTACAAGAGCTAGTTCCAGGACAGGCTCTAAAACTACAGTGAAACCCTATTTTTCTCTCTGCCTGTCAGCCCCACCTATCCTTTCTCCTGCCTTGCTACTGGCCTTTAAGCTCTTTATTAGACCAATCAGGTATTTTATACAGGCAAAGTGAATACAGCTTCACACAGAGTTAAACAAATACAACAAAAAATATGCAACACATCTTTGCATCATTAAACAAATATTCCACAGCATAAACAAAATAACACATCTTAAACTAATATTCTACAACACAAAACTGATTTGAACCGCAGAAACTAGGAGATTTTTACCAGATGAGGCAAATTAAGTTAAATCCATGTTCTATTTTTTAAAAAGATTATTTTTAATTATGTGTTTGCCCATGAGTGTAGATACCCATGGGTGCCAGAAATATTGCATTCTCTTGGAGCTTGAGTCACAGGAAGTTGTAAACCATCTGATGTGGACAGTGAAAACTAAATTCAAGTCTTCTTCAAGAGCAGTATGTTCTCTTAACTGCTGAGCCTTTTCTGGAGCTCTTGATTCAAACTCATCATGCAAACCATTGTTATATTTCTTTACTCTAAGACTAGAACTCTTCACAAAACAAGTTACATGAACATGGGCTCTTTGAAGAACTTTGGAAGACACAATAATGAAAAAATAGCTATTAGTGAATGAATATACATTCCAGTTTGTTTTGGCCTGTGATAATATGCCATTTGTCCTGGTATAATTAGTAATAACATTTCATCGTTCTCAAATGACCCAATTACAAGTTACCCTGTCTCTATAACAGGCTTTTGATTTGAATATTGTTGGGAAAACCTGCCTGACTGGGACTAAGACCTCAGTAAGGTAAGATGTTTGAATCTTTGAGCTCTGTGACTAATTTTAGAAATAAGTAGTTCCAGAAACAATGTAATGACTGTACCTACAAAGAAAGAAGAAATAGCCAACTGCATACTTTATTTCCACATACTGAGCTGCTGCTTTAAGGATGGATGCTCAGGGATCACAGAAACTCTTATTTATAGAAAGAATGCCACAATTCTTATGAATACATAGTAGAGAGGAATATCTGAAAGCACGGGGAGGGTCTATATTAAATATAAAGCTCTTCCATTGCCTACCATCATTATCTAGAATACTTCCGTTGTCAAAATTCATTTATGTGGGTTTTATTTCTTTAGTCCTGGACTGATATCACAGTCTGCTAATCCCAACACTTGATCATAAAGGAGTCAGTTTGGGAGCAAAAAGCAAAGTTTCCCAGGATGGAGCCAGATCAGAGGAACTTTACAATAAACAGAACTCTTTTTAGTGCATACATGGCCCCTTTTAATATGTACATAACAGCTGCACCTTTGTGTTGTTCAATACATCCTACAATAGAAAAAATAACATAGTTAATGCTTGTTATTGCTCTAGTACTATTTTAAACAATGCATATATATTCACTTGGCTTTATAAAACTGTGGCTTTGGCCCAAATACTATTATTGATTAAACCCTAATACAGTTGTTGGGAAATATTATTTTAAGGTGTGATTATGCTGCATTTGTTTAACTGTGAAGCTGTGATCCTTTGCCTATCTAAAGCACCTGATGATCTGTCTAATGAGCGGAACAGCCAATATCAAGGCAGGAATAAGGACAGGCAGGGCTAGCAAGCAGAGAGTATAAATCAAAGGAGAAGAGAGGAAGGAGGAGGATGTCAGGGGCCAGCCACCCAGTCACAGAGCCAGGAGTAAGAGCGAAAGTAAGATTACAGAAGTAAGAAAGATAAAACCCCAGAGGGAAAAGGTAGATGGGTTAATTTAAGATAAGAAAAGTTGGCAAGAACAAAGCCAAGCTAAGGCCTGGCATTCATAACTCAGAATAAGCCTCTGTGTGTGATTTATTTGGAGCTGGGTGGTGGGCCCCTCAAAAAGCCAAAAGAGTAAAACATCACACAATATACAGTTGTGCACTTTCAGCGTTTTTCTGCACAGATGAGGTAGGACTGGGGTTGTAATGTCATGCCCAACCTGGGTTTCAGGTTTGGAACTAGCTCATGTGGAAAATGCAAATGAAATTGCTGAAGTAACGCTGTAAAAAACAAGAACATTTCCATCCGAGCCAGCTGTTCTCCAAGACAATGTCTTCTTCCTGAACAGAAAAGGAAATAAGTTTAAAGACCATTTACTAAAATTAACATCTAATATTTGGCTGTCATTTAGGAAATCAGTAATTTAAAGTAGGTTGAAGACATCATATTATGAGAAGAGTCTCTCAAATCTCAAACATACCTTTATTTCCATATATCAGATCATGGACTTCTTAAGATTTTATTCTCATCTCTGAGTTCTACGCAATGCAATAGAGCTTATGATCTACTACTATAATATCACATGCTTTGGGATGTGACATCAAAGGGAAGCCCATTTCAACTGACCTAGTGAGTACTTTCCTTCAGTAAATCCTGCCAGCATGTGTCACCACAACCGGCAAGGAGTACTTTCCTTAGTGATGAAGATGTAGCCCATCTTCCAAGCTCTGTGATTCATGCTATATTTCATAGCAGAAGCAGAATTTCCTAGTTGGAGATGACATGATACACTAGAGGGCAAGATTCTAGCTTTTCTTGGAGTTGTCTTTGTTTCTTTCCTTTATATGGGTTTCATTTTCTCATACTTATTACTGAATTTTTTTTTTTTTTTTGGTTTTTCGAGACAGGGTCTTTCTGTGGTTTTGGTTTGGAGCCTGTCCTGGAACTAGCTCTTGTAGACCAGGCTGGTCTCGAACTCACAGAGATCCGCCTGCCTCTGCCTCCTGAGTGCTGGGATTAAAGGCGTGCGCCACCACCGCCCGGCTTATTACTGAATTTTTGCTGTAGAAGTCTGACTACAACCCCTACATTCATAAGCTAAAAAGTTTCTGAAATAGCCAGCCATAGCTTTTCAACTTTAGCTTTATTTAATTAATTAAGAGATATTTTGAGTAGAAGCAGGTGTTGATCATTTTAATGAAACCATCCTCTCCTGTAAGAAGTAATGTTATATGTAAGGGGAGGGCACCAAGAAAGCAAAGCCCTCTAAATCCGTTATGATTGAAGCTCATATCAGCTCAGAAGCTGGGTATTCACGGGGCCTGCACACATCTGTACCAGCTCCTCTGCATGCATATATATGCAGTTTAGTTTTTTTATGGATTCCTGAGTGTGTGGATGAGTGGGTCTCTTATTCTTGTGCCTTCTCTCAAGTTCTGTTCCAACTCCATTGTTGTTTTTATGCTAGTTTTTGTCTTATTATATTTTACTTTGTTATATTTTATTACTATCCCATAGAAGCCTGTTTGTTTTCTAATGAGAGACAAGAAAGGGAATGGATCCAGACGGGAGGGAAGGTGGAGAGGAAGAGGGAGGAGTAGAGGGAGACAAAACAGTAATCAGAATATATTATGTGAGAAAAAATCTATATTCAGTAAAAAGAAAAAATACTAAAAAATTAATTTTAAGTATTCAGAATTAAGCACTCTGGAGCAGGTTGTTTCAGATTGAGATGTTATGAATAATGAGTCATTGTTATACTCTAAAATTATATACATGTGAATGTTTTCTTACCTAGAGAAAAAGGAACGAAAGCTTCCTTTCTAGTAAAATATCCACTGCTGTCCAGAAATCGCTCGGGATAGAATATGTCTGGGTCTTTCCAGTACTTTTCATCAAAGTGAACAGAATAAAGATTTGTAATGACTGTTGTGCCTTTAGGAATGGAATAACCACGTACAACTGCATCTTCAGAGCTTGCATGGAAAATCCCCAGTGGAACTATATTACAGAACCTTAAAACTTCATGTAAAACTGCTTCAGTATAAGGCATTTTGCACTTGTCTTCCCAAGAAGGCCTCCTATTGTAGCCCATAATTAAATCAATCTCTTTATGAACTTGTCCTGTCAGAGAAACATATTAAAGTTATTATGGAATTCTTAAAATTATATAAACTTATTTGGGGGGGTACAACAAGGATAACCCATAACAAATCAACAGAATATGGGTATGTCTAGATTTGAATTTTTCATCATCTACTAGTTAAATGAATTAATTATATTCCCCCTATATGTTTCATTAGTAATAACCAACGCTCTGGGTAAGGTCAAGAAAAGGATTATGAATAAATTTGTAATTAGCCTAGAATCAGAGTAGTATCACTGTCAGCAAGGAAAGTAATGAAATATTAGACCTAAATAAGAAAAAGCAGAGTTCAGACACCAATTTTGTAGCTTCCAGACTCTTAACTTTCATCATCCTTTATAAAACATACATATTAAGTCTATTTTAAAGTTTTTTTTAAACACAATGTTATTCTATGTATCTCAGGTTGGTTTAAAACTTACTATGTAGGCTGTGGTAGCCCTGAACTTGAGATTCTCCTGCCTCAGCCTCCTGAGTTCTGAGATTAGAGGAATATCACCACCATGCCTAACCTTCAGATGCTTTTCTTCCTTTCTTAAATTTGTATTGAAATACCATAATTATGAGATATTTTCCTTCTTGGCTACCATAGTCAGAGTTCCTAAAACTGCTTTATGCATGGCCAAACACTCTAAAGCACGCGAGTCCTATATGTAAGGAGAGACTGTGAGGTCAAGGTTATCCTTACCTTGGATATTAGGATAAAGGGCCATAAAAAGAATTGCCCAGCGAAGCACATTAGTTGTGGTTTCAGTTCCAGCAATGATGAGTTCACCCACTGAAAAAATTAGATTCTCTTTGGAGAACGTAGATAAAGGATCATTTTTACCTCGATCCATCTCATCTAAATAGGCATCAACAAAATTCTGAGGTAAATGAGGCTTTCTGTTGACTGCAGTTTTTTCAATAAGTCCTGCAAGGAAATCGTAAACCACATCTGCATTTCTGAATAGCTTTTGGTGCTTTCCAAAAGGTAAGATGCCAATCCATGGAAATGCATTATACAGGAAGACCGGAGCACTGGCAGCTAGTTCCACATTCTCACTAAATAACTCGATCATGTGCTGAAAATCAGTGTCTTCATAAGTGAACCGTTCTCCAAAAAGGATCAGATTGGTGATGTTTGAAACAGCATTTGTTATTAGTTGCTTGAGGTCAAGAGGTTTGCCTTTGTATGTTTTAATAGCATCAATTAAAAACTGAGTTTCTTCTAAGATTTTAGATTCGAAAGATTTTTGACCACATCCAAAATAGTGAAAACTGTTAACAGCCAGTCTTCTGTGATCAATCCACCCACGGCCATATCTAGAATTGAGTAAGCCTGAAAGAAAAGTATTAAAAATGGTGTGTAATTCATATTTCTCTGTATTTAAGATGCTGTGGAATAAAAAACAGAAAGGAAAAAAATTCAAAGATGGATAGTCAGTGATTTTAGCTCCCAATTATCTAAGTACATGATTGTGCCCTAGTTGATGTTGCTCAAAAGCCATAGAACATAGCTAAACCTCATGAAAGGACTGGCAGGAAAGACCTATAATAATCTTTTTTTTTTTTTTACAAGAAACCATCTTGTCTTATGTAATCAAAAATATAAACTAGGCCTACATAAATCTATTACTCAGCTTTCCTCAAACATAACTGTAAGATATGTGTGTATATACATATATATGTATATACATATATATATATGATAAAAATAGTTTATAAAAGGCAACTGATTATATGTTCTATGGACACAATTTAATTTGGATTTAACAAATACCTCCAAATTCAAAGTTTCTGTTTGAAAGAAATCAGATTTTTATAATACAAATTTCCTTCTGTTGAAGGAATATGATACCCAACAAGGTAACTATGCCAAAGTCAAGGGCAGCCTTGAATTGTTCAAAGTAGTAGAAATGCTCATGAAATAAAAAAAAAACATGAATTCAAAATTTACTAATGTTATTATATCTGCCATTTAGCTTATTTAAGCAAGACACTAATTTTTTTTTTAAAGTAAGTGTGGAGGTATCATTACAGAACTTAGAACATTACTGTAAAAAATCAGATATCAGTTGTATCTGGTGTCGCCATTTTTTAGACTTTCTATTGCTGCTTTCTTCGTGATTGTGTCAACTTTGAGCTTTTCTCTCTTGTAAACTAGATAGTCATCCAAACCTGATCATTCCTAAGTCCTACAAAAAGTCTGTCCTTTGTACATGATAAAATGTCTGTCACCAAGTACTCAAGATTGTGACCAAAAGGAAACTTCTGCTTCATGATGTGCGTGTGTTGTGTCTGTGCACTCCTCAATTTTTTTCAGTATTTATCAGGTACTAATTATTTAAAACATTACTTCTGTTTCTTAGAACTGATTGGCAATAAAACTAGCATGTAGTAGCCTAAAACTATTATTTGAATGCAGTCTGATTGTTCCTCAAATCCAGGTTTCACTAAGTACAAAACAATTTGTCTACACTTAACTAAGGAATGTGATTTAAAGTAGGTACACTGACTGATGGAAGTAGATGCAGAGGTCCATAGCTAGAACTGGACTCAGCTCCCAGAGTCCACCTGAAGAGAGGGAGGAGAGATAATATAAACAAAGGGGTCAAGACCATGATGGGGATCCCCACAGAAGCAGACGCTCTGAACTCATTGACTGCAGACTGACAGCAGGAAAACCTGCGTTGGCTCAAACTAAGCACTCTGGATGTGGCTGGAGCAGTCTGTGGGGCCACTGTTTATCCCTAATGCTTCAACTAGCTTTATGGAGCCCATTGTCTCTGAAGGGATACATTGTTCGGCCTAGATATAGGGAGGAGGGTATTGGTGTCAGACTAAAGTGATGTGTCAGACTTTGTTGACTACCCATGGGAAACCTTACCCACTCTGAGGAATGGATGGGGGGTTGAGTGGGTAGAAGGTGGTGGGGAGCAGGAGGAGGGGAAGGAGAGAGAACTGGAATTGGTTTGAAAAAATGAGAAAAGATTGTTTTTTTTTAAAGAGATCTCAAAAAATAGGTGCATTGAACAGTTGAAAAAACATACCTCCCATTTTTGTCATCTTCATGAACAAAGGAAAGCATGGTCTATCTGCAAAAATTTCACTTTGATGGACAAGGCATTCCTTCACTATATCATAGCCATTTAGAACCACAGTTGATATGCCTCCAAGATCTAAACTGAAAATCTTCGAGAAGAAAAACAACAATCAAATAGTAAAATGTACAGTGAAACAACAAAATGATCCACATGTTCTAAGCCTATCCCTCTTATTACTTGCCACTTCCTTAAAAACATGAGGATTTGTCAGTTGACAATCTCTAGACAGCTTGATTAATTATACCACTCCATGCCTGGAACCATTTTATAAGGTATAATGGAAAAAGTACTGCCGGGCGGTGGTGGCGCACGCCTTTAATCCCAGCGCTTGGGAGGCAGAGGCAGGCGGATCTCTGTGAGTTCGAGGCCAGCCTGGTCTACAGAGCTAGTTCCAGGACAGGCTCCAAAGCCACAGAGAAACCCTGTCTCGAAGAAAAAAAAAAAAAAAGAAAAAGTACTGGACAGAAGAAGCCTGTATTCTACTTTAAGGTTTGCCATTAAATAGGTTTAAGGAACAAGGCAAAACAAAAACAAAATGTATTTGATTTTGATATAATTCATTCCATTTAAAATATTTATTACATAGAAATCTCATTTTATTTCCAAGACAAATTTATAACTAGCATTATCAATCTATTATTATATCATCTTGAAGTGGGGGAGGGAAATTGAGAAAAGTCAAAAAACAGCTTTGAAATTCAAGCATGTGTGTGTGAGGGGGGGAAGAGAATTGTATTTACCTTTCTAAATCCCAGGATTCTAAGGGAACCTAACTTTAGAGGAAATATATTTACCATGTGCTGTGGGATAATGTAAAGATTTGTCACTTGTATTGATTTAATAAAATGTTGATTGGCCCGTAGCCAGGCAGGAAGAATAGGCAGGGTGATCAGCTTAGATCTGGGAAGAGGAAAGGCTCAGTCTGCAGTCACCAGCAAGACACAGAGGAAGCAGGATGGAGAATGTGGTACCAAGCCACATGGCTAAACATAGATAAGAATTATGGGTTAATTTAAGTTATATGAGCTAATTAATAATGAACCTGAGCTAATTGGCCAAATAATTTATAATTAATATATGCCTCTGTGTGTTTCTTTGGAACTGAACAGCTAAGGGACCAGGCTCGACAGAAACTCTGTCAGCAACAATGTATACACACGTAGATACCTTTCATCTAAGAGGAAAGCAAAACAGGATAATCCTGTAACTTGCTGGAGTTGTTTGCCCAGTGTTCTAGTTTGATTTGTTTTGCTGTGACCAAAAACAACACAGGGGAAGAGAGGGTTTATTTTAGTTTACACTTCCAGATCACAGTCCATCAGTGATGGAAGTCAGGGCAGCAATCTGGAGACAGGAACCATGGAGGAACTCTGTTTATTGGCTTAATCCCTGGTTCTATGTTTTAGCTCTTCGCTTTGTTATTCAGCCCAAGTATACCTTCCAGGCTTCTTAGTTGGGTTTCTATTGCTGTGATAAAACACCATGATTAAAAGCAACTTGGAGAGGAAAGGGTTATTCCATCTTCTACTTCCACCTCCAATCCATGATGAAGGAGGTCAGATCAGGAATGCAAGGAAGGCAGGAATTTAGAGGCAGGAACTGATGCAGAGGCCATGGAAGAGTTATTTACTGACCTGGTCCTCATGACTTGTTCTTCCTACGTTCTTGTAGCACTCACGACCACCAGCCTAGAGAAGGCTTGCCCACAGCTTAATCTGGTGGGGGCATTTTCTCAATCAAGGTTCCCTCTTCCCCAGTGACTCTAGCTTAGATCAATTTGACATAAAATTAGCCATCACACTAGGGATTGTGTCCTATCCCCAATGAACTGGGCCCTACAATACCAATCATCAGTAAGACAATTTCTTTTGAGGCCCTGGGACAAAGTGATTGAGACAATTCTTCAAGTGAGGCAAGTTAACAATAAAAACTAGCCAAGATATGATAGGGTCACCTCATGTTCACTTACAATGTCATTCGTTCTGAGGTGTCTTTTAGCTAACCTAATGTAAAGGCCTAACTCAGTGAAAAGCCTGTTTATCAATAAATCCCAGGGATTGCTTATTGCTGTCCTCCCAGGAACTGCCCCAGAGTTTCTCACAGCTAAAAGACCGAGATAAGCCTTATCTTCGTGTAAACAACAAAGGTAGACTTTATCATGATAAATTCTGCTTCAGAAGAACACAGGAGGTCTTAGCTGATAACAAAAGTTCTTCAGAAGTAAGTCATCAAAAGTGATAAAGATTATCAAGAAGGAATACAATCAGTTCCACCAGAGGTTTTGGCACAAGGGTGGGCCCTGGGACAAAGAAGTATGTACATTTAGAATGTTGTGGAAAATTTATAGATTTTGTACACATTGGCGTTAGTTTTAGGCCATGGAGGAATTTTTAGCACAAAGGGTGTTGCTACCAGAGAAGCAAATGAGAGATCTTTCCAGTTCCCAAAGCAGTATTAGTGTGGTCAAATAAAAGTCTTCCCCCAGAAATGTATTCAGTGAAAATCAAACAGGAATGACATTAGTCTACAGGAAGTGGTATGGATGCAGGAAATAAAACAAGATCATCATTTTACCAGAATGGCATAAGACCTTGGGGTTGAAAGCTCTGTGAGTCTGAAGGCAGAACAGAGGGAGAATATATTTCAAGGAAAATCTTCAGACTGTGGTTACTAGGAATTATAAAAAAGAGGACTAATCACTTAAAAAAGCTACTATGTAGTCTACCTTTACTCAAGAAATTGAGATAGTTGTCTGTTAAGAGAGTAGAACTGGGGGAAATTTTATTTGATCTAGTTGTTTATTATACTTGAGAACTTTTAGCAAAGTTTCATCAATCAAACTGCAAAAACTTACTTTTAAACTGTTTTAATCTGTGGAAGAGTCCAAGATTAGGACAACAATAACAAGATTGGTTGTTTATTCAATCTTTGATTTATTGAAGTTTTAAAATGTCGATTATGAGATAATTGTGCTAGCAGAGATGCAAACAGAAATACAGCAAACATTCTTGCCTTCTAGCAGTTTCTGTATCATCTTTACATAACTTCTTCTCCACCCAAACTAGCTCTACATAGAAATTTTACTCCATCAGTTAATAACCACACTTTTTAATCCTTCAAGGTGTTGAGTTCCTGTTTGAATGTGAAGTGTCTCCCCGCAGACTTGTGGTTGAACACTGTTATCAGCTGCGAACAGTTCTGAGAGCTAACAGAGCCTTTATAAAGTAGAGGCTAACAGTAGGTAGTGGGTTGCTGGGACTTGGCAGTGAGGATCATTCTGGCCCTGATTCCAGCCAAGTTGTCTCTGCTTCCTAGTTGGTACAAAGTGGGGAGCCACTGTAAACTTTTTACACCAGACATTGACCCAGTAGCTGTCATAAATTGTACCTTCTGCACCACAACCCAAATGAATCCTTCCTTCCTAAGTTGTTTCTGTGAGGTGTTGAGCACAAGAGGAAGGTGACTAACAAAGTCCTGACCCATGTTGACTCGATTTCCTCCCAAGCCACACAGTCAACTGTTTGGCATGTATGTTGTTTCTGCTGTCAAGTTATAAAAGAAGTTGACCAAACATCTTATCACTTCAGATCTTAAATGTATCTTAAAGGCTTATATGTTAAAGATGCAGTCTTTAGCTTAGTGCTACTGGAAAGGGCAGAAGTTTTAAGGGACCTGTACCCCTGAAAGTAGGATCCTGCCCCTCCTCTTCACTCCTTTTTTCTTCTTGACTGACATGATGTAAACAGTCTCCTCTGCCACACACTCCTACTGTAATACGCTGCCTCTCCATAGTTCCAAAAGCAATGAGGTCAACCTAATGACTTTAATCATCCAAAACACAACCCACAATGCATCTTTCCTTTTTCTAAGTTTATTATCTCAAACATTTTGTTTCAGTAATGCAAAGCTGGCTTTCACAATCTCTAGACTCTGGTTCAAACCACCTGCATTTCGTTCACCCTTAGGATAGGTCACAGAATGCTGGTTCTTGTCCTTGGTGTTTGCTCTGTTCTTGGTGTGTTTTCCCCTAAGATGTTCTCACAGCCTGCTCCTTCATTTCCTTTTAAGATGTCCTTGCAATGACACTTGCTCTGACTAACTTAAAATTTAACCCGCCAGTACTGTCCATTTCCATTACCCAAGTTTAGCTTCTGTTGTACCCCTAAACTCTAATATATTATATACTTTACGTATATTTATTTTGTCCATCTTCCCCCAAACAGAATGTATGTCACTAGAGACAGAGATCTCTTGTTCACTACTAAATGTAAACATAAGCCATAATAGTGCATGGCTTAGGATGACAATTGATGCATGTATGTTGAATTAATGAATTTGGCAAACATATTTAAGCATATTATTACAGCATCATTGACTAAGTACTAACAACAAACAAATGCACATACTGCTACTGCTGATAAGTGACTGCCATATTTTCTACTTTTTTTAAAAAATTTTTTTAGAATTTATTTATTTAATATTTCCACCTCCTCCCATCCTCCCTTTTTCCTCTCACTTCCCCCTCCCCCTCCCCCTTGCTCTCCAGTCCTAAGAGAAGTCAAGGTGCCCTGCCCATCCATCCAGGTCTAGGATGGTGTGCTTGATCTGTTTCCTCATTTAGAATGTTCCTCCTGATTGCTATATTACCTTTAGAGACTATATCCCATGTAGTTTTTAAAAATATATACATTTTTTTAATTCTCTTTGCTTTGAGCCATCACAGCTCACATAAAATCTTTCATGACATTAATTTAATACTAGTTTGAACCTGAAACATTTTCATCTTTCTGGCTTCCAGATTATAAATACCTTTAAAATGACTTATTTTTTTTTCATTTTTAAATTCTCCACAGAGCCCCACTCAGTGCCTTGAATAAGTTCTCAATAAAAGTTCTCCATAAAACAAATTAATAAGCTGCCAGTTCTGTTTGCTGTAATGCAAAATAATCATCTTTATTGCCTGTGAGAGTATTGTCCGAAAGAGTCTGACAAATCTACTGCTATCAACTTTGCTAGCCATGGAATGCTGCTCAAAATCTACATTAAGAATCTAAGCACAGCGGAAGCTGAAACAATCAAGAGTGACTCCCCAAAGAAATGGCACTTTTTGCCACAGCACATTTCCATATAGGATTGCTTAGACAGAAATATGAATCTTGGGCACTGCTATTTCTCTTTCAAAAATTATAAAAGATTCAACTCACAGTGCACAAAAGCAGGAAAGTTCAGATTTGACTACACATCTCAAATGTAAACGGGAGATTGTGGAAAAATAACCCCTATAAACTGCTTCCTACAACCTTTCTGAAGTACAGGAGGTAACAGTCTTCTACTGTACAAAAAATGATTAGTGTTTTAACAACTTGGACTAATTTTGACACTGTGAGAATTGAGAACTATCTCTAAGTTAATGGGAGATCTTCAGGGGTGTCCCACAGCTAGCGTTAAGATCAAATGCAGCAGCAGCTTAAAGAGAGTTAATGTCTGGTGGGAATTAAACCTAACAGTACAATGTTTACTATATAGTGCACACATCTTCAGTTTTGCCCCTTGCAGTTTAGCAGCTATTAGCAAGGTTAGCTTTGTTGATGTATAATAAATTGTCACTGCAAACAATGTAGTTTCCTCAGTGTACCAGAAACAAAATTATTCAGGCTAAATTCAATTAATCCAATCAACCTATTCCTTGATGGTAGTCTTCCACGCACTGATATTTTAATTTTAGCTTACTGTAATACACCTATATCACTTGTCCTTTTGACTATTCATAGTAAATAAAGAATTCCTTTCAGCTCAAATATTTATGTATAAAAACTTTAATTTCCTATTCAACGAGAAGCCATTCCAAATAACTGGTTTAAAGACAATTTTACATTGATAGGCATAATAAATTTCTATTGGAGTGGTGTGTGTCTCAGTGGTAGAGCACTTACTTAGCATGTCAGTCTCTATGGTCAACTCCTAATACTATACGTGAAAGGTAGCTTTCACATATAGTAACCAAAATCATATATAATAGCCAACGCATCTGGGTAGCATTTTACTGCTTTTGGTTACGACTATCCTAAGTACCCCGATGAAGAAAAGTTAAGGTTCAGAAAATTAAGGGCTGTTTAAGTGTTAAATGTAAAAAAAAATAAATAAAAAATTGAAATGGCAACCGCACTAACACTAACCCTGTCTTAGAAACTCACAACGTCTTCATTCAAACTCAGGGGCCACAGGGCCGAGAAGTTCCTCTTAGGGGCAGGCATCTCAGACAGGCTACAGGCCACACAGCGCACGCGCACACGCTCGCCCGTGGGCGGGGACTCTGGACCCTGAGCGCCTGTGGTGACAGCCGTGGGGCGGCTTCCGGTCGGGGGCACGGCCCTCGAGGCGGGACTCCCTCTGGCCGCTGCTTCTGACGGGAGAGGGTCTGCGTCGCGGCCTACCTCGCCATACACCCGGCTCTGCTTCCGCATGTAGACGTGGGGAAGCTCGGCGGACATGGCCAGGGAGCAGAGGTTGCCGATGAATGGCAGCCGCGGCGGCCCCGGGGGGAAGCCCGCCGGTCGCCTCTGCCTCAGGAGCTGGCGGACCAGCAGCAGGAAAAGCAGCAGGAGGAGCGCGCCCGCGAGCGCAGCTGCACACCTCTGGATTGCGGGAGGCTCCAACATGGGCCCGGGCTAGGCTGCTCACCAGTCGGCGGCGCTGAGGCTGGGGCGCCCTGCGGGCCTGCAGCACTCCCGACGGCCCGCCCCTTCTCCACGGCCATTGGCTCGTTGAGTGTGGGCTCAGGCCCTTTGGGTCAGCCACCTCCAGGATCTTCCCTGGCTCAGTCCCGTTTGCAAACCTTTGATTTGGCTTGGCCCTCGGTGAGCACCACCACCGCGGGCGGGCACGGAGCCCACAGGCCCCATTCCAGAATGTGGTCACTAAGTTGGTCATGTGAGCACTGCTCTCTGGGCTAGGTGCTTCCTGTCTCTCTGGATGCCGCTCCTTAAGGTGTTTTGACAGTTGCCCCGTCTGTTTATTGCACTCTATGGGTGGTGAAGAGGTTATCAGAACTGCAGTCTTTAACTGAGTCTGAGAATTCCATTACAGAGTCCACAGATCAGTAGGACAAGGAAATAACCTCGCCTACAATCTCGCCTTTTGTTTCGAGGCATTTCTCCGAGGACTCTTTGAATAGTCTGATATTATTCTGATACCTTTTCATCCTTTTCTGTCCATCCCCCACCCCCAACTGGTTTCTTGGTAGTAATCTCAGAGGCCTCTCTTATCAGGGATAGCACTGACTACTCAAGTTTTCGGTCTCTCTGGAGGCAGAAGCAATGATTTTTTTTCTTGGTTTTTCGAGACAGGGTTTCTCTGTAGCTTTGGAGCCTGTCCTGGAACTCCCTTTGTGGACCAGGCTGGCCTCGAACTCACAGAGATCCGCCTGTCTCTGCCTCCCGAGTGCTGGAATTATTGCTAGTTCAGCCCACATTCCTGTTTTCTGTTGGCAACTGTTTGCAACACAGGACCCGTAGGACTCGAGACTCCTGAAAGGCTGCCTTGATAATTCAGCAGGGGCAAAAGTTTAATAGTCCTCATCAGCTTAACTTTTATTCGTACAATTATTTATTAAATGCCTACTCTGCGCACATGACCTATATAGCGAAGATACTTGGGTGCATAAGAACAACAAAGTCCCTATGGAGTTTTTAATTTTTTTTTTCAGGATCTCCACCTGTGGGCTACCCAGCTACTGCCTGTTAAAATGCTTGATATTTTATCTTGAAAGATTCCTAAATTTTATTATTAATCTAGTAGATTAGAAGAATAGTGGTGAGATGTTATTACTAAACTTAGCCTTCAGTGTCACAGGATGGGCATGGACGTTGCGGTTGGGGAACGGTAATGTTGGAGCACTGGGAGCTGGGTAATATTACCTGCTGACCCTTGATATCAGCCCTGCCCTCCTTCCTGACGTCATCTTAAGGCGTGAAGTGTCTAGTCTGGCCAGCGGTTGTGCTATAAGGCACTCCATTCAAGAGGGCCTTCCCTTCATTGTTTATTTTCAAAACACATTTCTTTCGATTCTAGAAAAATTCTCCAATTTGCTTTGGTTAAGGAATCATTTCTTCTTTTCCTGCTACCTTAGTGGAGAGTGCAGAATCACCTGCTGCCATCCCTTCTGATCGACAGCCCTGAGGGCATGCACGTCTTCCCCCACTGACCCTAAAGCAATAAGAGCTAAGGAATAACTAAAACTCAGGGCACAGAACCTTCTCTGGAACCATTTATTTTGCCAGTGCTCAGTAAAGATAGATTACTGTACCCTTTTATCTCTCCATCTCACAGCGATTGCTCTTGAATGGTAGACACTGATCAATACCGTTTTTATTATTATTATTGTTATTATTATTATTATTATTATTTACTACTACAGGGCTGTTTAGAAGTGGAGATTTCACTGTTATACTGCAGGATTCTCTGATGCAAAGTGGAGTGAGTTCTTGGAGAAATGTGAACACCGCGTGCTGGGCTTTGCCATTTCTGTGTGGACTGATAATAGTTGTATCGGGGAAGAGGGCAGCCTGTGCTCCAGTGAGAGCCTCGTTTTATTGGCCTTTGGGAGCTGTTATGGTCTGAACATGGTTTCTCATCACCCAAACTGATCTTGAGGCTTAGCCTCTAATATGGCAGGGTTGAGAGTGGTAGGGATCTTTTAGGGGTAATTAGGTTGTGGGCACTTTACACTCACAAAGGGATTAACGTAGCTACCTCAAGGATGAGTTGCTTATCCTGTGGAGGCTTGTTAATAAAGTAAACTGGCTTTCTGTTGCTTCTTTTCTGTCCATTCAGCTCTTCTGTAGGAACCTGCTCCAGTTTCTCTCCCGTCTTTGCCCATGCACAGCATAGAGCCCTCACTTTAGGGGCCCCACACAGATGCTGGTGCCATGCTCTTGGGCCTACAGAATTGTAAGCAATGTAAATATATTTTCTTTATATATTTCCGGACATAGCAAGAAACGGAAAACAGCGTGAGACAGGAACCAACCCTCCTATCCTGCGAAGCGCTGTCTGCTGAGTCTCGATGCTATGATCCTGGGTGCTCACTCCCAGTGCTTCCCTGACTCAGAGTGATGTAGCAAGCACAAATTGGCCTTCTTTGCATATTCCATTGTGCAGATGTGTGGTGTCTTGCATCGGAACAGAAGCAAATAAGAAAGTGTTGAGCTGAATCATATTGGAGCCTAAGGCAAAAGAAAAAAATCAATAATACAGATCCTTCCTTATTAAAAATTTCATATCTTGTTCATGAATTTTGCTTTTTGATCATAAAGTGTTGTATTGAAATACTATTTTGATTACCAGGTTTTATGAACTCATTTGCTGCGCCCGAGTCTGGGAGAAAGGCTATTTAGGTGATGGTTTTGATTATAAAGTGGTACGCAGGACCTAGGTTTGTGTACTTGTTGTTTCATGGTATTCTAGGGGACATGAGGATGATAATTATATCTGCGGTGGGATTTGAAGACCCCTTTGAAATGTCTCTCTTCAGCCATAAAAACATCTCCTCCTACCCATTTCTGAAACCTTAGTTTTTTACAAAATTAATTTGTATGACTTAAACATTCTCTAAAACAGACTGATTTGGAAAACACAGCTGGTTGTGTTGGTGCCTAACCATAGCATACGCTGACAAGGCAGAAGTAGGAGGATCATGAGTTTTGGGACATCCTGGGCTACACATTTACAGGCTGGAGAGCTTGCTCAGCAGTCAGGAACACTGGCTGCTCCTCCTGAGCATCCAGATTCAATTCCCAGCACCCACATGGTAGGCTTACAACTGCCTGTCATTCTCGTCTCGGGGAATCTGATTCTTGGAGCTGCCATTGCTTTGCAGATACTAAGGCTAACCTAGAACTGTAAGATGCTGTGCTTTCAAAGGAGCAATGCCTCCACTGAACTGTGCTGCTTTGGTCAAACACATATGGCAGGCAAAGGGGCTTTTTCACATTTATTTTTTCAAATTCAGAAGGCACATTTCTGAAAAATAAACTATATATAAATTTAAAAGGTAGAGTCTGATGACTGGAGGATCTAGTTCATAAGCATGGTATGTATTAAACTCACATATAAGACGTAGGCAAGGAAAAGAACGTTGCCTTAAGAAACTTCTTTCCCAAAGACTATATCAATTTGGAAGTAGTCATTTTTCTGAGGACTAGAAGCCATTCTTACTCCTTCCATAAAAAAATAAAAAAAAAAAATAAAAAATAAATAAATAAATAAGAAATGGGTGAATTTAAATTGTAAGAGATAGCTAGAAATATGTTTAAGCTATTGGCCAAACAGTATTGCAAA